GGTGGCTCTGAACTGCCAACCTAGCGCCCCTCAAAAGGGTGGCGATCTCTCCACTCACTTCTCTGCCCTGGAACGGATGCTGCCCTGGTAGGACAGAGTGTGCAGTGTCAGGCTCCCCAATGGCCACATGGAGATCTTTTGATTCCGTTCTTTTTCTCTCCTGCAGGAGGGACACTGCCAACCAAGAACCCGGCTTCTTCCTTCTGGTTCTCGCTCCTGCTCCCTCCTGATTTGCTTTCTCCATCCTGGCTCACCCTGCTGGTGCCCCTCAGGCAGACAGCACAGTGGGTGGGTTCTCTGAGATGGATTGGGCAGGTCAGAGGAGAGGTCAAAGTTTTAGGCTCTTGATTACATCAGTTCTCTTGGGGTGGTGGGGGGAAGTGTTAGGTTGGGAACCTTCAACCTCTTGTTAGCCCATATTTTTCTTTCAGACTCTAGGGTGGAAATAAGTGGTGTTAATTCCAAGGAATCTGCCTACTAAGGTGGAGGATACCCAAGAAAATCAGGCTGAATTTGGTTCCATTTTAATTTCTTTTTTTTTTTTAAGTGAAGTGCAGAAGAAAGGGAGAATTTAAATCCTTAGTTTTGGGATTAGGGCACCAATGCTTTGTCATTTCTTTTCTTTTTTTTTTATATTGCTCAATTATGAACATTTTTTTTCCTTTCTTTTTCTTTTTTTTTTTTTTGCTTTGTCATTTCATTGCTAATGTTCTTGTTAGTTAATTGATTTCCCAGTGAGACCTCAGAAGTATAAAGTGTCCACCTTGATGCCAGATCCCCTGCCACCAATTCTCAGAGCTACTCCTATATGTCATTCTGACCTTGGCCCCAGTGGTCTGCGGAAAGGTCAGATTCTCAAATCTCCTACTCCCCCACCCCAATAACCCAAAGGTTTGTCCCTGGCCTTCCCCACTGCCCCCCAAGCCCTCCAGCCCCTGCTTTCCAGCAATAATCCATCATCATTATCTCCTTTGGTATTTGCAAATCACTTTACAGCCATTGTTGTAAGCTTTTCCCTCTTATTTGCAAAGTACTTTACAGCTATTATTAGTCTTTCCTCTGAATGTAGGGCAATGCTGACCCACTTCTGAGAATTGGATGCCCAGCACAGGGTGGGACTTTCCTAAGTCAGTTGTTGTAGCTGCACCCTCTTGCCCTGCCCCTGCCCACGGGCAGCTCAGTCCCGTACATTTCCAGGGAAGAAATCCAGGTGGCTGTTCACAAGGTCCACACAGGCTGTCATTGCCAGGAGGTGCCAAGCAGCAGGCTTCAAACTTTGTCCTCTCCGATGCTCAATCCAAGGGAACAAAAATAGACCCGGCCGGCAAAGGGTGACAAAACACCAGTCCCTTCCTCATGGTGGGCAGGGAACAGCGTGGGACGCCTGCTTCGCTTTTCTTCAATCTGATTTTTTTTCAAGTAGGCAATTATGACATCGAATGGTTGCTTTAGAAAAAACCCAAAACTGATCTACCCTAATAGAGATTCCTTTTTCTTCTTAGCTACCACCAATACTTGTGTTTCTTTTTGTGAGTTGTGTTTTTTTCACTTCATGTTTTGGGATAGGCTGTAAGCATTTTCCTCCATAGTAACACTGTTTTTATAATAATCTTTTTTTTTTCAAACGAGGCAATTTATTAACCCAGCATCATTTGTTCTAATGTTTCTTGTTGGCAGCTGCCACCTATCTGGTGATTCTGTCCAGATCTCTCTGTCCCTGAGGTGTCAGTTTGCGGCCTCCGTCTTGGTCCTTCTCCACCATCTTGAGCCCCTCCAGGGCTTGAAGGATCTGGGAGGCCATGCTCTTGGAGCCCCGGCTGAAGTGGCTGGGCATGACACCCTTCCTCTGCCGCCCCCCGTAGATCTTGGTCATGGAGCCAACCCCAGCGTCACCCCGAAGGTACAGGTGCCATGCTGTAGAGGCAGCTCGTGTGTAGAACCAGTTCTCATCATAGGGACCAAGCTCTTTATGCTTGGCCAACTTGACCGTGTCTACCCATTCAGGGACTTTCAGCTTCCCGGACTTTTTGAGGAAGGCTGCCAGAGCTCTGACGAACTCCTGCTGGTTCCCGTCTTTTGCAGGAGCTCCAGGCATCGTGCGGCCTCCGCGCTGCCAGCCAGGGGAAGCTATAATAATCATTTAAAAATCTTATGTAACATTTATTGAGTAGATTGGTGGTAAGGTTTTGCAGTAGAAAATACAGAAGTGTATGCAGAGTGGAGCTGGTGGTGGGTTGTGGATCGACGCGGCTGTGTGTCCGGCTGGCTTTAGGAAGCATGCTTTTCCCTCTTGTCCAGAGCCTGCCTTAGACTGCCATTGAAACCCTTGCTCATTCCCTCTAGCTGCAGGCCCAGGTCAGACTCATGCCCTCTAGCCAAGAAGCAAGTGTTTGCCACTCAGGCCTCCAACTCAGTCAGGGGTGTGCTCCCCAAATGAACCAGGTTAATACTGTTACTCATTATCAGTATTCAACTCCAGTTCCCCCAACTAGGTCATTAGCATTCTGCGAGCCAGGCTCCTTCGAGCCCAGGCAGGCGTCAGTCTGTTGGAGTACTTAAGTAGCAGATGCTTAGTAAATATTTGTCACTGATAAACACTTATTTGCCAACCTCCAATGCCTTTAACTATTTGCTCATCCATTGGTTGAGCTAGTTGGAGTCTCCAAGGCACTGTGAGGGGAGTGGTGGCAGAAAGGAGGCCTGAGGGGTGGCTGGGGGGCTCTTTGAATGAGGGACTGTCCCCGAGGCGAAGCAGTCAGTGGGAAGAAGAGAGGGAATGACCCCTCCAGAAATGAGAAGTGAATGACGAGATTCTGTCTCTGGAGCCTTCTTTACATAAACCTGAACACGGAAAACTGCCTGCTTATCTCTACAAGGGGAAAAATGGGAGTCTCTATCTTTTAGAGCTGAAATATTTATGAATGAAATGATAGGACATCTAAAATTTTCCTAGATGACTCAGCCAATGACTCAACTAGTGGTTGGAGGTACAGATGAGGCAACACTGGGCACAGATTTTGGAAGCGAGATGACAGGCCGTTAAGAGTCCCTTTTTATATTCTGCTTTCTTTGAATTATGTTGAATTTTTTTCCATAAGAAAGAAAAACAAGACTAAGAGTGTTGTATTGCATTTGGATTGAAAACCCAAACCAAACCCACTGTCCCCAAGCTGATTCTGGCTGACCGCAGAGCTCCCGTGGGGCCTCGAAGGCGGTGTGTTCTCATGCATGCAGGCGGTCGTAGCCTTACCCGGCAGAGCAGCGGGGAGGTCCCAACCCCAGACGTTTCTGTTTGCAGTGGAGTGCTTTAACCACTGCATCACCAGGGCTTCTCTTGAACTGCAAAGATGCTCTAAAAAGGCCTCCAGTAGGGAGCCCGGATGGTATAGTGATTACGTGTTGGGCCGCCATCCGCATGGTCAGCAGTTTGAAACCACCAGCAGCTCTGTGGGAGAAGCACCAGGCTTTCGACTCCCATCAACAGTGTCAGAAACCCACCTAGGGTGGCTCCTCCCCTTCAGCAGGAGATCTGAGATGAGAGGGTTTAAGACAACTGTGTCTTAATTCCATTTTGAGGTTGTAGTGCCATCTAGCGTTTATTACAAGCACCCCAAATAGCTATATTGCTAGTGTTTCCCCCAAGGTCCAGAGAGGGGCTTTGCCTAGTGGGGTCCTTTCTGTGAATGTGACTGGTCTCTCTGATTCCAGTGACTGGCTTCTGGAGTTGAAGAGAGGGCTGACTGGCGGCAGATGGGCCAGCCAGCACGTGGCTGTGGAGGTGGCGGCGACGGCCTTCACCCTGGGCATGCAGGTTGTTGCTCAATCCACACTTTGCAGGCTGGGGAGCAAACAGGACATGAGTTCCCTTTTCGTGTGCACCTCTGAAGGCAGCTGACCTTGGTGAAAGGACTCTCAGTCTGACCCAGGTGCAAAAATAGCCTATCGTCCCTGGTGTGTGCTGAGCTCGCTGGCCTGAGCAAACAGCCCCTCACACCTGCACACTGTTTACTTGGTGTAGACACACAGCTACTTGTTTGCAGGTGCAAATGACTGTTTATGTACCCAGAGTGGGGGGTAGGGCTCTTTCACCTACCCTCTTCTCCCGCCCAGGCTCCCTTGGGACAGGTACGCGGACACGCACGCCAAATGTGCAACTATGAACCTCAGATTTGGGTTCTGATTGACAAAGGACGCTCAGCGATGTCAATCCCCCCACTGGAGAAGAGCTCACCCCTGCCCCTGGCAGCAGGACAAGGGACAGCTGTGCTAAAACACAAATTGGGAATACTTGTTAAAATGGTAAAGTCTGATGACGGCACATTTAGATGGTAGACTATTACGTTGCCTTAAAATGAGTTCATGAAAAATTCCCAAGTGGTTTGTTTTTAAGTGAAAAATAGGCCCCCAGTTTATATGTATACATATACATTATCTTGACCTCAACAAGGAAAAGGTCTATGCCAATATATAAAGTGTTGCAAAGGATGTAATAGAACAGTCTGAGAACACTGGTGATCTGTTATTTGAGGATTATATATGATCTATAGTCTCTTTAGATGTTTCAGTCTTTGCTCATTTTCCTGAAGTAAATATTTATGATAACTTTACTCAACGGGGCGAATACTCTCGGTTTTGAAAGGGAAAGACAGGGAAGAAAGTTCTGAGCAGAGCTCAGCATTGGTTCAGGCTTTAGGCTTTGGATGAGGATCTGAAACTGAAGTCCAGAGCCCACTCCTGGCCCCAGGCCTGCGATTCTGCCCACTCTACCTGTTCTGCTGACCAGGGAGGGCCTGCTGTGCCTGGGGTCCCCAGGAATAAAAATGCCCTCATTCCACCACAGCCCACGGAGCTGCTCCCCTGCCCACCATGGAGCGAGGGCAGGCCAACCATGCTGATCTGACATTTCTAGAAGAAACCGGGCCTTCTTCTGTGGTCACCGCATTCACAGAGATTTTTCGGCATCAATAAAAACGGGGTCCTCTGTGTGTCTCTCCCAGCAGATATGTTTGATGATTTCTCAGAAGGCAGAGAATGCGTCAACTGTGGGGCCATGTCCACCCCACTGTGGAGGCGGGACGGGACAGGCCACTACCTGTGCAACGCCTGTGGCCTCTACCACAAGATGAATGGCATCAACCGGCCCCTCATTAAGCCCCAGCGCCGCCTGGTAAGAAAGCCCCTCGGAGCGCTGAAGTCCAGCCACCTGCAGGATGGACAGGCGTCCGCAGCTCTTCCTCAGGGCCTGGTTCAGCACTCCCTGGCTTTGAGTGACGGCATTTACCCTTCCCATTGCCGTGGTGGTTAGGCGGCGTGGAGTTGGCTCCGACCCAAAGCAACCCCATGCACACCAGAATGAAACACTGCTCCATCCTCCCAGTGGTTCCTACGCTCCAGCCCACCGATGGAGCCACTGTGTCAGTCCATCTTGCTGAGGGTCTTCCCCTTTTGTCCTGCCCCACTACTTTACCCTGCATGATGTCCTTCTCCAGGGACTGGAGTATTGACATCAACTCTAAGAGAAGCCCCTACCCCCTACCCCCACCCCCACCCCACCCCCGCTTACCTTGTTTTTCAATTAATAAAACCTGAAGTCCAGGGAGGTCGAGCAAGTTGTGTGAGGGGTGGGGAGCAGGGGAGGGGGTGCGTAGCTTGTGAAGAATCTGCTGGAATTGAGCCTGGGAGCCAGCTAGATGTTTTACTCCTGGCTCAATTCTCTTGCTGTAACCTGATCTGATCAATACCAGCTAGCTTTGTGCATATACAGGGGGGGGGGGGCATCACATACCCTGATGCTTCCCTTTCTTGTGACCCTGATGATACTTGGATACAATCGAGCAGCTTTTCTGCTAAGAGCCTGGTTTCTGCTTGGGTATCCATCTGCAGGTGAATGAATAACAAGTGCCCAGTTAGGACTAGAAACCAGATCTTCAGTTTTCTTGCGCCGCACCAGTCTTTGCTCTCAGTCACATCGAAGGGGGAGAAAGAGGTCTTACGACTGGCCCAGGTCTCATGCAGCGCTCTTAGGGCTCAGCCTGCCACCCATGCCCGTGTTGCTAACGAGGAAAGCCTGCTGCTTTTAACTGGGCTTCACGGGTGTGTCTCCTGTGTTGCAGTCAGCCTCCCGCCGCGTGGGCCTCTCCTGTGCCAACTGCCAGACCACCACCACCACCCTGTGGCGCCGCAACGCTGAGGGCGAACCCGTGTGCAACGCCTGCGGCCTCTACATGAAGCTCCACGGGGTATGTAGTTCCCAACACACACACACACACACCACACACACACACACACACACACACACACCCTCTGCCTTTTCAGACTACCACCTTTCTTTCCTCCTTCCAAATAAAGTATTTGGATTTCGAAAGGGCTGTAAGAGCTTGTGCTGGCCGCTCCATCGCTTTAATTCCCATTTTACAGACGAGAAGACGCTAGCTTATAGAACAGTGAACAGTGTAAGACAGGACAAAATAGTAATCATTTATAAATTATCAAGGGTTCCTGAGGAAGGGGGAGCGGGGAGGGAGGGGAAAAATGAGAAGCTGTTACCAAGGGCTCAAGTAGAAACCAAATGTTTTGAGAATGATGATGGCAACAAATGTACAAATGTGCTTGACACAATGGATGGATGGATGGATGGATGGTGATAAGAGTGGTACGAGGCCCCAATAAAATGATTTTAAAAATGAAATGTATTACAGAATACACATTTGTGTTTATTGCCACAGGGTTGATTCGACAAAACTAGAGAGGAGCGTAATGGACAATAGGGAACCGACTAAATGATGGCACACCCCCATAATGTAGACTATGGGGCAGGAATGGGACAGCAGTAAGTTAGAGCCACATGCCTTGATGTCATGAGAAAGCTCTTACCAAGCCATAGGCCTTGTATCAAATTTATAAATGTTCATAAGAAATCCACATATAGCCACACAGAATCACAGGTGAGGTTGTTTCTTGAATCATTGTAATGGTGGAAAAGGAGGAAACTTTTAGGCGGGAGATGGTTAAAGAAGCTGTTATTCTTCAGTAGGAGAATGGCAAATACGGTTAATAAGGGAACTTAAAAATTACAAAGAATGAGATATATTCATAAGTACTAAAGTGGGATGTGTCCAAGACTTATCATTGAATCAAAACAAAAACACTGCACAGTGGAGTTAGTCTGATTCCTGTTTAGGTCACAACAGAAATAACTATCAATTTGAATGTGTGTCATTTCCATTTTAATATAGAATATTTAAGAACTTAGAAAGCTGGAAAAGGGGGATTGAAAATGAAAGATCACATCGGGTTTTTATACCTTCAGTATTTAAAATATTTTCCAATATGGATGATTTCACCCATGCACTATGTGACTGTAAAAATGAACAGTAAAGAAAGTACTTCGAATAGAAAGAGGATCCAAAGGTTCAGAGGGAACCAGCCACGAGAACTCTTGGAAGGGGCCAGCTGAAGAGGAGAAAGAAGGAAGACAGAAGGGGGCGCCAAGCAGAGTCAGCCAAGGAGGGGCACATCTGCCTCTCTGACACCTGTCGTAGAGGTGTCCTTGATTGCAGCAGGAGTGGCGGGGCAGTGGAAGCAGTGTAGGGACTTGCTGAGTGAAAGGTACAAGACAGTAAGATATGACTACAAAGCGGCAGTCTCAAAGGCCACATTGAAAGATCATGGAAGTATTCATCAAACTATATGAAGCTCCCTTGCATACTGAGATGTGCAGAGACAGGCATGAGGGCAAAGTCTTCGGGAGTCAAGACGGGCTTCAAATGGACCCAAGTAGACCTGAGGGACACTGGGGGAGGGCAGTGTTTCCTGAGAGCTGCAGAGAACTGACGAGGGTGGCAGGTGGGGATGCGGTCTCAACCACCTCTTCAACAACCTCTCCGTAGACTAGGCGTGCCAGTGCTGGTCACCGTCCAGCAAGTTCAAACTCAACTCCTGGTGACCCCACGCGGTGCAGTAGAGCTGTGCTCCACAGAAGTTTCAGCGACTGATTTCTCAGAAGTAGGTCACCAGGCCTTTCTTCTGACGTGCCTCTGGGTGGACCTGAGCCACCAATTCTTCAGCTCGCAGCGAGCACATGAGATGTTTTATCATCTCAGCACTCCCGAAAGCCAGCAGTGGCGGCACTGGCACTTGTGCTAGTGCATTTCTCGTTACCATTCTACTGCCATGGTGTTGGCGCGGCTTTGTTTTCCTGTAGTGTTTGCACATAAGGTGTCTGTTAGTCCCAGATAATAAATAAGCATAGACCAGAGCAAAAAGACTTGATTTGTCTTAAAAGAAATCAGAAGTGGGCAAGACACTATATATTTTAAATTTTTATTAAAAGATCATTTTATTTGGGGCTTTTACAACTCTTGTAACAATCCATACATCAAATGTATCGAGTATATGTGTACATATGTTGCCATCATTATTTTCTAGGCATTTACTTTCTATTGAGCCCTTGGTATCAGCTCCCCCCTCCCCAATATTTTAAAAATATTAGAAAGATGATCTGCAGGCCTGCTTTCTGAACACTTTGTTTAGTTTCTTTTTTAAAATAAGTTTTGTCATATAATTCACATACCATAGAATTCAATAGTTCAATCATTAAAAAGCATTGTACAATCACTATAATCAGTCTAGAACAGTTTCTTCCTCAGTGTTTTATCAGCTCTTTATTCCCCTCAGTCTCCCTGCCAGACCCCCAAAAACCATTAATCCAGTTACTGTCTCTAT